GATGTACACAAAATACTCGGACTTAGGTCCACTGACCCAGGGAACAGTCTTTTTCATTCCCATTCCTCCCTCCATTGTAAAATTGTTTCTTTCTCTCCTAACAGTGAGTGGGTAAACAAAGACTTTGTGGCAACTCTTGAACAGTTGACCTCCACAGGAAAACAATTTGGAAGCATCTTAGCCGCACACAGCATAGCCACCACGTTGAAATACTGGTACCACGGCTCACCGCCTGGGGAGATCGTGTCCGTAGGAGTATTGAGCGAAGGTAAACCGGGGTCTTTCATGTCTTGTAATATTGAAAAACCTCCATGCATGACTTGTGCTCCTACTTCGGACTCCCCGCCTGTCTATCTCTTAACATGGCCTGTAAGCTGTGTATTTTCACAGTTTCATAACTGCATTCCTCGTGTTCCTTATGTTATTAGTGGGACCATCCTCCCCATTCTTCTTATGACTGTGGAGCAGCTAGCTCGCAGAAATCTCCCTAAATCAATTTATCTCTGTCTCTCCTCCGTAGGCACTTAGCCTTGTGCTCCTCCATCAGAGAGCATGTTACCGCCTGCCTTTACGGACGGTATGATAAGTTGTGTGTGTTCCCCCCACTAACATGCGTATACCCTGAGGGCAGGCCTTTGCCTGCGGCTTCTCACTGCTCCTTCGTGGGCAGGCAGGTCAGCAAATCTTGTTCAATTGAAGTTAAGATGTATGAACATCTCCTTTGTGTGAATTCAAATCAGTGTATTACCTTTTCAGTGAAACAGGCCTTTTGAACCTTATCTTTACTTGTAGAAAATTTCATTGACCTCCATAGGAATTCATCAATAAACAATGCAATATTAGGGATGAGGAGCAAGTGATCATCATACCACATAGTTCAACTGTACCAAATAGGTAAACTTTCATGTGTTGTTCACCAATAAAGCTGGCTCTTTAGAGAGAAAACAAATAGAGGACCTGGGATACCCTCTGAGGCAAGTTTTTTTAGATCCTAGTGTCTTGACTATCTGTAATTTTTTGCCCTAGTGGCAACATTTTTGATGATTAGAATGACAAGCATAATTTTCTTATCTGATTAATGCACAAAAGGGTGGGGGGAGGGCACAATGTTGCTCAGCTAGTAATAAATAACGTCAGTCTTTTTTATTTGGAGCACATCCAACCTGGGAACTAGGAGCTGTGAGGAAATCACCAACTTGCCTGCTCCCTCTCTTTCCCTTCCCAGTCCTCATTCCTTAGCTTTGTGACTGCCAGTAGTAGGCTAGAGAGTGGAAGGCCAGATGGACAAAGACCCCAGCTCATGGGCTACCTAGGGGGACAAAGAAAATCCACAGGAAGCAGACCAAAGGAACTCAGCCAAGATGGAAGAGAAAGACTACACCAGCCCTCCAGGCAGCGGCAGGGGTTCTGAGCCCAGGACAAAGGGGATAAAGAAGGAACAGTGGTTCTTCCTTCTGAGAGAAACTCAGAAGGGGGGATTGTCAGAAC